ATATAGGACTTGAGGACCTAAAGGTACCTCTGGAATATAGGAGTTGAGGACCTAAAAGTACCTCTAGAATATAGGACTTAAGGACCTAAAGGTACCTCTGGAATATAGGACTTGAGGACCTAAAGGTACCTCTGGAATGTAGGACTTGAGGACCTAAAAGTACCTCTAGAATATAGGACTTGAGGACTTAAAGGTACCTCTAGAATATAGGAGTTGAGGACCTAAAGGTACCTCTAGAATATAGGACTTGAGGACCCAAAGGTACCTCTGGAATACAGGAGAGGGCTTACTGTAATTAGTACTAGACTAATTAGCGCTAATTGGTCAAGTACTCACATAATTAGTAGTAATCAAGATGAGTACTAATTAATTAATAGTGGCTTAACAGTGGCATACTGTTTGTTTCAAGATGTACACAGGAAACGACAGAAGTATATAGGTTAAGGTAAACTGTGGACTCGATTCTGATTGGTCGATTTTTTCTATATGAAGTGAACCATATTTCTTCGGCTAGCGTGTTTGGATAACTTCCTATGACCGTGGCATCCCTAGATATTATTTGAATTTTATAGAAATAAACGAATATTGCAGAGAATAAAATGATTACGTGTATCTATTTCATTAAAGCGATTGAAAGATAGAATGAGTATTCATTTAAGACAAAGAATCAAAATTTGATTTGAAAAGTTTAAACAAAACATGTATCTACTGTAGAAAAAGAATATAGGATTTAATAATCTTGAACAGATGCTTTTATATCTATCGAAAATCTTGTTTCTTAACTGATAGAAGATTTTGTAAAAAGTCCTTTTTAGAATATGTTTCCAATGAGAAGAACAATGATAAAATGGCCATTTCTCAACTTATTCATCTTTTAAAACCGTTTAAACATCTCTTAGTTATCATTCAAAAAGGAAAAACACCTTCCCTTCACTTAATAACAATTGCTATTCTAACACTTCGTCGAGCGTTAGAGTCATATACATCGTTGATTGAATATAATAAAAACTATGGAATCAATTCATCAACTGAAGATTTAAGTGAAAACGAAGATGAATTATTTGAAGAAAAAGAAGAAGGTAATTATTTGTAAAATGTATCATATAAAAACAGTATTCTTCTTCGTTTACACAGGAATGCGTTGTTTTTGTATACGTATTTATCATTTACTCATTCTATGTTTAAATTGGAGCCAGTTCATTTGGCGGCTACACTTTTACATCCTAGATATCGACTTCTGAAAAGGTGTTCGTTATATGAAGTACGAGAATGTCATTTATATATTCGTCAACGTATGGCACAAATCAAATCAATGAAAAAGAACAAATCGAAATCTGATACTTCAGAAGAACGTTCTTCAATGGTTAATAATGTAACATTAAATGAACCAGTAAAGAAAAAATCCAAACGATTTGGAGAAGATTTCGACACTGGAAATCTTAGTGATGAATTTGATAATGAATATGATGATGAATTAAACAAGTATTTGGAGCAACGAATCGATATGGAATCAATTGATGATAATCCTTTAACATTTTGGTATGAATATCGATTTGCTTATCCAACATTATCTCAACTAGCACGTTCAATTTATTCCATTCCAGCTACCATAGCTAATGTTGCGCGTCAATTTAGTGCAAGTAGAATGATGATTAGCTCAAGACGTACCAGATTAAATCCTGAACAAATTAACAATGCTAAGTTTTTACGTTCAGTAAAAAAAAATGACTGATTGTAATTGTTTTTCATTCTCAGATGTTTATGTTTTTCTATTTAGAAATTATATGTATGTATTTAAATTATGCATTTTCATCTCATGAAATAAAATAGTAATTATGAAAGTCTACTGAAAAATTTGTGGAGAAATAATCTTCGAAAACATATTTTGAACGGGGCGAGGCGGTGACGGTGCGGAACTTTATCGACGGATGGGACGAGGCAGTGGCGATGCGACTTTTTTACTGCCCAGTTCATCTCTGTTATGGAGTATGTTGCTTTCACAAATGTCTATTTAAGTCGTTAAAAAAAAACTAAGTCAAAGTGTCTTATAATATACAGCTTGATGCATCTTCATCTCCTCTTTTCCAACGGTGAAAACTGCAGATTTCTATCCTGCTTCGATCAAAGGTCATTCAAAAAATACCCACCCGCCGTTTTTTTTTGTAAATGAGCATTAATTATATTTCTTTGTATTTTTATTTATAGAAAGTATTTCCTTGATATTGTTCTCATGGATTTTTATTTTTCTGTATTTTTCATTTATATGAAAAGTATCCTTTTTTGGTCGGCTCAATAGTTATCTATCTAAAATGATTTAAGTTAGATCTAATACACAGAGCTTCTCGATCGCTCATAAATGAGGACTTGACATCAGAATCATCTCTGTTAGAAGAGACAAATCTCTTATGTTTGATTTCTTAATGATATTTGTCGCCCGTGTATTTGTTCTTCTTGTATGAGCGTTTTTCTTTTCATATAAATTCTCATATTAAATGGCGTACAAAGATCAATAGAATGACCTTATAAAGTCCTAACAAAACTGTTCGAACCAGTTGACATTTGGAAAATGTGTATAAATACTCACTTGCAATTACTATCATTTGTTTTCACGTTTCATTTAAGCAGCTGTGATCATACAGAGAACATCACGTTTTCAGGCGCTAAACCATCGGAAAGAAAATTTTTCTGCGAAATTATGCATCTTTGTTTTAATTCAAAAGAGAAAAATCTACCAAACTTGAAAAATATATATTTCTGAGATTTTACTGCTTCACCACATCATATTATTTGCTTTTATCGTATCTGCTTCAGTTTTCTCAAGACGATCAAACGCAAACTACGACTGAACGTTTATATATTTTTTTTAAATGTATGTTTCTTTGGATGTTGTACAAAGAAGATCTTTTAAGAGTCTCTATGAACTTGTATCTGACATTATAGCTCTGAGAAAATCATTCCTTCTTAAAAATAACGTATCCAGATCGCAAAATCAGGCGTAGGATTTTGCACATCAGATGAAATCGTATGAAAAATATACGAGAAATCGTGGTCTCTGCAAAGCTTATATCAAGTCCTAGCATAAGATTCTTCCAAGATCATATTATCTGTACGATCTTGTATGATCTTCTTTCGAAAGATTGTATAAAATCCTATAAAGCAGTAACATCTTGTAAGAATCGTATGCCAAGATTTGATATAAGCTTTGCAGAGACCACAATTTCTCGTACATTTTCATCTGATTTTTAAAAGATCATACAAGATTAGATATGCATTTTGAAACAGCTGATCATTTAATTGTTTGACTTCGGTATCTAAGCGACGTGCTGTTCGAATTGTGTATGAAATGCCATTCTATGTTTCCAGCAGGTAATAAAAAACTACTTCCTCAATAGAGATGTGCAGGACCAAAAATTAAAACTTTACCGAGACCGGGACTGGAATCCGATGCTATATGATGTCATTAACTCTGTCAATTTTCAAGTGATGTTTTTCATATATCATGAATCAATTTATTATTATCATACTAATCTCTTGTAATACAAAAAGAAAAACACATGATGATTAGAGATATGATCGACCAGTCACAATCCTGCTTTCGATTTCGACCACAGGAATCGATATCGGGCCAGGACCTTGAGAAAACTACCGGGACCAGAACTCAAGTTTATAGTAAGATATTATATGATTATAATCCAATTATCTTGTAAATCATATGAATCAGAACATAATTCAAGAAAAATGATCCTCAAAAGTGCTAGTCGTCGACTAAATAAATCAAAAAAATTGAGTATTGAATAGTTATTTGAGATGTGATATGAATAATTCTGGATTAGTTTTCTCTAGATCGAGACCGAGACCCTCAAAACTAAAATCACCGAAACCGGAAACAGGACCAAAAAAAGAAATATACGGGACCGAGACCGAGACTGGAACCAAAAAAACTTGGTCCGCACATCTGTTTTTCTCAAGTATGATGACAATTGTACAAAGTCCAAGGCTGAACAACCTTCTCTTTGGACGGAAATTTGATTAACGAAACATATAGCAAACGGAATTATGCACTGAAATCGCATCTTTTCTCATGATGAGTTGCCCTTTCAGAGATTCTGACTACGGTTATATTCGGTTTTTGACTACAAAGTCATATAATTTTAAAAAATGACTATTAATATTCTTTTTGAGAAAATGAGAATCAGAATCGTAACTTTCGGATACAGTACATCTTCAAATCCGAAACTACTCAATTATATTGTAATCATTGTATAGATTCTGTTAGAAAAGATTACGTAAATCTAAACTGGAAAATAAGAACTAAGATTCCATCTTTCAGATTGATTATATAGAGAACAATTTTGTTCATGATGGATCCGCTCAAACGTCTTCGACTAATAAAGTATGCAATTTTACAAACAACTATGGGTCCATCACTGATTTGTGATTTATTTGTTTTTATTTATTTTATTCGTCATTGGCGAAAAGAAATTCTTATGAAACCGCAAAATCATGTGATTGCGTGTTTGCTTATAGCCAGTTTTATACAGAAAATTACTGATTCACCTTTTACTCTATACTATCTTCGATGGGGTATTGTTGTTCAAGAAACATACACGTTTTGTGCTATTTGGAATTGGTTACATTATTCATTAACGTGTGTAAGTTTACATCTTTTAACCTGGTATTGTATTGAACGACATTTATTTATATTTCATAGTCAAATGATGAAAAAGAAATATTGTTTGATTCTATTTCATTATATACCTTTGATTGTATGTTCGTTATATACACCAGTTTTCTACATTCGCTACATATTTTTTCCACCAAAATGTGTTAATGTTTGGTATTATACAATCATGCTTTGTGTAGCTCCATGTTATACATATACTGATAAATTTTTAAATTCATTTGATTGGTTATTTCATTATGGCATGCCAATTTTAATTATAATTTTTGTAAATTTATTCCTAATTTGTCGTATTATATCGCAAAAAGTTAAACGGCAACAACGAATTCAATGGAGTCGTCAAAAACGAATGATTATTCAACTTGTATTCATTTCTCTTCTTTACTTGATTTTGATGGCACCAGGAGTTATTGTTGGTGTTATTCAAATTTTATGGATGCGAGATTTTTTAAGTGATATAGAAAATAATTATTTCTATTATCTTTTCTCGCTTATTAATCAATTCTTATCATTCGCTATTATTAGTTCACTGCCTGAAACACGCAAGGAATTGAAACAATGGCGAGATCATTTGAAAACATTCTGTCATCGTGGAATACGAACACATTCAGTATTACCAGGAACGACAGTCATTGGTAATGAGACCATAGATGAAACTAGAGTTTAGATGGTAACAGAATCATATTACTTTACATTCTTATTATATAGAAATATTTGTTTGATGTTGTTGAATGTATATTGTATGCGTACTATTGTTTCAGTATTTTATCGTTTGTCTCGCTTTTACTATATGTTAGCTAGTATATCAATAAATACACAATAAAAGATTATTCGATCACTTAATGATATAAGAAATATAATGATATGGTCGACACTAATTGTTAATTAAGTATACACCATAGGTCTAAACAGATCATCGAGCCTGCCTGGCACAGAAATTAGAAATTAGCTCTGATTTTCAGTCTTTCAGTGGCCAGACAGGCTGCTTAAAATAGATAGACCACTTGTCTGTCATGTGTTTTCTGAGTTTTGAATAAGAAGGTTCTTTTTTCGTGAAGGAAATGCAAATATTAAAATATTCAGTGACACATCTTTGCCGCTAGAACATAAGAAATGATTTTTTTTACAATTTTGACTTAACGCAGTCATTAGTGGTCATAAATGGTGACTAGATTGTTCATTGTTGCTTTATTTATCTAGCTTATTTACTCGTTTCGATCATTACTGTTCGTACTTTCTAGGGGAAACACGAATTTTGCCGCACTGAATTTCGCAGTAGATTTTCAGCAGCATTTATTTTCCTTAAACGCAGTTTATATACTAATTGGCATAATTAACACGCACGCACACACACCACTAGGTGAGGGTGAGGGCTATGTCTAAATTGAGCAAATACCTTTTCGATCAACGCTTCAAATGTACGGCGAAATTCATGCTACCCCTTTCTAGTTAGTTATTATTGTCTTATATAAATCGTTGACTAATTCTTATTGTTCTTTAATTCATATTTATATTATTGTAATATTACAGGACTTGATATGTCGTTTTCAGATCGAAAATGGAATTCTTTAAAACTGCCCTTCTTGATAACTTTCGTCCGATACTCAAAGCAAAACTGTTATCACCGATCAGTAGCATGATGGAATGACAACAGAAAAGAACAAAAGAGAAGTCCGCTTTCACCAGAAACTGAATCTTGCTACTTCTGCGGGGTGTGGGTGTGAGGGTGAGAGTTACTGAACAAAAGACCTTCTCACCCTCACCCCACCCTCATCTTGTTGGATCTTTTGACAAGATCGTACAGAAAATCTTGTATGCATACGATCTTATATGATCTGGTCAAACCTGATTCTTCTTTTTTTGACCTGGAATATTGCTTATCTTCTTTCTGATACTCACGTACTTAGTTTCTTTATACATGTCATATACCATCGAGTTTTTACAAGACAAAATTTCATGAAACATCTTTTGCCACGAAACTCTCAATGTGCTTGTGAAAACCAACGTCGAACTATCATATGACTTCTAATGTCGTCCAACAACAATATGAAATTATGATTGTCTAAATACATCTAAAAGAAATAATAACCCATCGCCATTTTTTCATTGAGAAGGTTAATAAAAATTCTTTGTTAATCTATTTACAAAGTTTTTTTTATTGTATCATGAAAAACTCATTAATAATATCAAAGATACATCCGATGATAATTAATATTGACATAACTCTCGTCTTAATCGTATACCAATCAAATTGATTTCGTCTTGTTTTGATCACGTCATTCATTTGGCACATAACGGGAGATGAGAGAGGAAAAGAAACAACACTGATTCTATGTCTAATAATAAAAGGAAAGCAAAGATGCTAATGACATGTTTTTTTTCTTTTGCGCACTTTTTTCTCTCATCATCCATGTTATACATGACTAAATGACCATAATTCATACAAATGTGTGGAAATATAATGGCATGACAAGTGTTCTATCTCTCCTATGTTCCTGTAAATCCACCAATTTCACACAGAGTAACACTTTACTAATAATCTGTATAAACAGACATATTTCTCTTCTCTTCTTTATATATTTTTATACAAAACTAAATAAAAATCAAGGAGACAACTGTCGCAATTGTCAAACTACTTTTTGAATGAAAAACCAATGAACTATGAGTTATTGCTAGCGACGATTTCGAATATTATCCAACGATCGCTACATGGACCTTCTCAAAACGATTTTTTTAAAACCAATTTGCCAGGGTAAAACCTTTTTTTATCTTTCTATGAAATGGTAATTTCTTCATTTCAAAATATCTGTAGAACAAATTCAGTCATAATTATAATTTTGTATAAAATATAATAAGGAAAGTTATTGGACAGTGTTCAAGCATTTAAACTAAGTTTGTCATAAGCGAGGAGAACTCTTCCTTCTCTCCAATTTCGAAAGAATTCCTACTTATGACAAGCTGTTCATATTGATCTCTCTTCGGACGAACAGATCACTGGAAAGTTTTGTCTAGATAAATCGAAAAAATTGTTTTCTTTTAGAAAAGCGTCCTGAGATGATGGTTCATGAGTCGTTGATATAATCATATTCAAAATGAACAATTGATAACCTATAGTTCAATATAAAATGGTATCTCAGTATTTTGTCTATTTGGTATAAAATAAGAAAATATACATAAACAAATGCAGCAATGTTCAACCAGAAAAAAACTCATCATTTATGATATTACCTCTACATTATCACTTCAAAATTCTACATATATGGTCCCATCTAGAAAATTTAGCCGTGAATTTGTCACAAGACTATGAATTTGATACGGGAAATAATAAATGCAAAGCGAAAAGTATAAATGGTGAATTTATTCTTGTTGAACATTCCTCAAAACTGCTTTAACTTGTTTTTGTTTGTATTTGTTAATGATCAACATAAATAATAATTTTAGCTGATAAATTAAATAATGAAGACGATGAATTGGAAATAATTGATTTTATTGGAAGTAAAATAGAAAATTTTCTTCCTCAATTCATCTTTAAACATGTGTGGACATACGATGAAACACAAAATGCATTATTAAACTCACCATTTTTTGTTATACCTACTAAAATAATACACAAAATATTTAAATCACTTTCAGTTCATGATCTAACAAATTTTTTATTAGTTTGTCGATATTTTAAAATGATTGTTGATCAAAATAAAAAATGGAAAATAAAATGTAATAGTAAGTTAAATTTATTTTATTAATTTAAATTGATTTAAATATACAATAGTATCAAACGAATTAGATTCCGAACTATATAAACAAATTTCTGTTGATTGGATTTATGAAAAATATCTTTGGAATGAAGAATTAGAAGGATTTGAAGAAAAATATCGATATATGAAAATGCCTTGGGAATTAAAATCTTCATCTTTTCTTCAATCAATAAATAATCAATTATTTTTCCCTATATTTGGATTTAATCAACATCCAAATTCATCATCAAAAATGTAAATCAAAGTTTGATTCATTCAGATTTTCATTTTCTTTTATAGGATTATTCAGTTATCAGTTGATCTTGACAAAACTGCTCATAAATTAATATCATTATTAGAAAAAACTTCAAAATTTCGAAATCAATGGCGTAAATCAGTTATATTACAACAAATGATTAGACGATATTATCGATTTATGATATTGAAAAGTTTATATCCTAAAATTTATCTTGTTCCAACTATAGATATTGAAATAGTTTGGCAAACACATCTTTTAAGACCTGGAATATATCGAGATGATTGTCATCAATTATTTAATAAAATAATTGATCATTCATTATTATTAAATCAGATTCAACAATCTTTTTTTCATACTTCTTATTTATATGAAAAACATTTTGATGAAGAATATTGTTCATTACCATTATATAAAAATGCTAAAACAACTTCATCGAAATATATTCATCCTTATTTTAATAAAATTCAATATTTAACTGAAACTTATTCTTATTGGGATAAAACATTGTTTCAATTTTCGAAATATTCTCCTGATGATTATGAAAATCCATTTTCATTTCGAAGACATGATATTATTCTTGATGGTAAATGGATTCATTCATGCCAATATTTTATGGACGATATGCTTACGATGGTACCCAATGATATATGGAGTTTTAATGTATTAAATCCAATAAATTTAAAATCATCAGAAATGAAACGATTAAAAAAATCTTATGAAAGATTTTTATATATAATAACAAAATATTCAATAACTAAACAATATCATTTCATTCATCCAACATACGCAGTAATACAATTTTAATATTAATTAAGATACACAGAATTCAAACTTCAAGTGAAATTTATTTTTTCACTGAGGGTGAGGGTGAGGGTATTGATTTTTCCTTCATTTCAAACTCAAACCGCTACCCTCATGCACACCCACGTAGAAAAACTTCGAAGTAAGGCATTGTTTTTTGTGTTATTATACTCTCATGTAAAATTTATTATATAAAGATAAGAGTATGGCGATCCTTTTGGTGTTGGAGATGATATTACTTATCTTTTCGTGCTCCTTCAAAAGAACAGACAAATATAATTTAGTCTCAAACAATAGCTCGTTAGTTTTTTTTGGTTTACAAATCTTGTAAAACACAATATGCATACCAACCAGAGAGATAGTGAGTTTGTCTTTGAAAATAACCGACGACAAAAATGGTGGCATCATCGTTGGGTTAAAATCATCTGCATGGCTTTTATACTTTTAACAATTTTTGTAGTGACCCTCTCTCTAGTGTTGAAATTCGTCGTTTTTGCACCTACCAAGTCAGAAACCTCTACTACCACTACAACATCACCACGAACATCTACATCAACATCCCATGTAACCACGAAACGCACAATGGACGCGGCTAGATGCGTTTCTGTTGAAAATATTGGCGTTCTGACGCGTTTTTATTGAAAATGCCGGCGTTTCGACGCGTTTTCGTATTAAAGAATAATGGAAACGCGTTCGGTTTGAACGCGTTTAAAGAGCATTACGAGCTTGATAGCAAAAACTGAGATAAACGCGTACACATGCGTTTTTATTTTCGTTCGAAACGCGTTGGTCTGCTCCAGACCTTTTCATGCGTTTAGAAATATACTCAACAATTAAAAGAAGCTATTTACCAGCCGCTAAAAATGCTTTTTGTTTATTATTTCTAATTTGTGTTAGTCAAAATATATTGAATATTTATTGGCATTATTTGGAAAAAAGGGAATGCAAAAAATAAGCCGGTCTTTTTAAATTGAAATTTACTATTTTTTGTTGAATAGATGACAAAAAATATCCTTTTATTTTTTTTTGAAATAAGTTGATGCGTGTTGAATTGTCAATATATATATAACGATGTTTGAATTATTAAAAATTAAAAATATTGTTCAAATAATAAGTTTTCTACATTTAAAAAAATAATATTAATACAAATAGTTTTGTTTATATTTAATGATATAATAATAATTGGCCTTGTATTTGGTTTTATAAAGTAAAAAAAAATGAGTCTTTCATTTTTAGAAAATAAAAATTTGATGATTTTTTTTCACGTAAAAATCTAAGATTTTATTTTTTCCATATATTTCAGAGAAAACTGTATTATCTTCATTTTAAATTGTATAATTGTCTACCTTTAAATAAACTATTTTCATTCTTTAATTTCTCTATTTTGTAAAAAAATAAAGAAACATAATCTTCTTTATTTTATGAAGATAAGGATTTTATTTTGTAAATGTAAATATTTTATTTAATAAATATTATAAATTTAAATATTTTATATATGATTATTTTATGAAATACAGATAAATCATAAATAAAATATTCATATTTATAATATTTACAAAATAAAAATAAATAAAAAAATCTTCATTTTTTAAAATTAAAATCTTAAAATCTTCATTTTTATTTCATAAATGTAAATTTTCTATTTTATGGATATTATAAATATAAATATTTTATTTATAATTATTTCACGAAGTAAAGATAAATCACAATATCTCCATTGTGAAACCTTATATTAAAGAGAGAAAAAAGAATTATTCATTTGGTTCAATGATATAGAAACACTTTCGAGGCATGGATGGCTCAGAGCTAGTTGTGCTTGGTTCGCAATCAGTTGGTTGCGTGTTCAAATCTCGGTTCAAGTTGTCGCTGAAAAATTACCATTCGGTCGCTGACAGGATTTGAGTCTTATATCATAGCTCGCTATGGTGCGTCGGTTCGATTCCAATATAGGGTGATGATTATTTTTGAATTTTTTTTGGGAATAAATTAAACGCACGAATTTAAACCAGTGTAGATGCGTTTATTGAATGAAACGCGTTTGAACGCCCTAAAATGTTGCATTTTGGACGCGTTTTAACGCGTCACGTTATATTGCACAAACGCTCGGAAACGCGTCACTAATCCTAAAAATGGTTACATGGGATCAACACTATCACCGCTAACAACAACGACATTGACTACAGCATCAACAATATCTACCATTACTGCCCATCAGTCAGGTAAGTTTTAGAAAAACATTTATTAACTTTCGAAAATGCTATTGCTGCATACGATCGAACGTGTATTTATTCTTCTAAATAATGTAATGACAAATAGAAAAACCAAAGTTAATTTATCTATTTGCCATGCATATAATTCATGAAATATGAAGCTTATTGTGCTATCATATTATGCATAATTTCTTGCAACAAGTTCGAGACCTTTTTTGTAATCTCTAGAAAAATTGAAAAGATTCATGTTACGAAATCTAAAACGTTTTGCTGATTATTACATACTTTTGAGAATTCCATAATACACAATATTTACAAAATGAATATATTTTTGAATATTTCCTTCTAGGATGGTCTAATACTGGCAACATGAGTAGTAAACGAAGTTATCATGCAGCATCTTTATTAACAAATGGAAAAGTCTTAGTTGTTGGTGGATATAATCTTGATGATGGTTATCTAAATAATAGTGAATTGTATGATCCATCAACAGGAACTTGGACAGCTACTGGTAATATGCATATCGACCGATATCATCACACATCATCTGTATTACCAGATGGAAAAGTCTTAGTTGCTGGTGGATTTAGACATGGTTCTTGGATAAATAGTAGTGAATTGTATGATCCATCAACAGGTAATTGGACAATTACTGGTAGCCTGAATCGTGCACGACATCTGCGCACAGCATCAGTGTTAACAAATGGAAAAGTCTTAGTTGCTGGTGGAGCAGGTGATCGTGATACTCAATATAGTGCTGAGTTGTATAATCCATCAACAGGTAATTGGACAATTACTGGTAGCATGCATTATGGACGAGAATGGCCGACAGCATGCATCTTAAAAAATGGAAAAGTCTTAATTACTGGTGGAGCTTTTGGTGATTATATGAAAACTGCTGAATTGTATGATCCATCACTAGGTAATTGGACAGTTACTGGTAGCATGTATTATAGACGAGAGTGGCACACAGCATCGGTCTTAGCAAACGGAACAGTATTAGTTACTGGTGGATACGATGGTAATGTCGTTCCAGATAGTGCTGAGTTATATAATCCATCAACAGGCAATTGGACACTTACTAGTTATATGAATGAGCCACGATCCGATCATACAGCATCTGTATTAACAAATGGAAAAGTATTAGTTACTGGTGGATGTTATGGTGATTGTGGGAATAGTACTGAATTGTATGATCCATCAACAGGTAATTGGACAACAACTGCTAGCATGAATAACGGACGACGTGATCACAGAGTATCCGTCTTAACAAATGGAAAAGTATTGGTTACTGGTGGACATCTTAGTGATATCTATCTAAATAGTGCTGAGTTGTATGATCCAGCAACAGAAACTTGAACAGCTATTAATAACGAGGGGTTGCAGAATTCTTACCAAGCAGAATTCAGAATTTTGTAGACTTGCACATATTACATATAAAATGCAACGTAAACAGAGGGTGTGGGTGTAGGCGTGGGTGCGGGTGTGGGTGTGGGTGGATGTGGGTGTGGGTGGGTGTGAGTGTGGGTGTGGATGTGAGTACGGATGTCAAGACGTCTTAATCGACCCACACACCCACACCCACATCTGCACCGACATTCTCACCCTCCCACCCACACCCACACCCTAACCATAAATGAAATAATGTATTATCAATGTACGTATAAGAAGTCGTTTATAAATGCAACATGAAACCAAAGGTCTAACCATCTGTAATATATTCTTGTTCACGAAAATATTTTATAAACAAATTTCTATATTATAATAGAAGGACTAGCAAAAATAACTTCGAAATAAGATTAACTATGTAAGCTAGAAAAATTAGGAAAAGTAACACACCTCAACTTAGTATAAATATGAACAAAATATTGCTTTTACAATGAAGATATTAAGAAAAAGTAGAAAACTTGAACGAACAATAGGATTTCCATCATTATTAATCTTTTTTGATTTTGTTATCATTGTTAATCTTTTTGACTTTTTTATCTTTGATAGGCTTTTTGACTTTTTCACCACCAGTCAGATTTTTTCTTCTTGATTCCATTGAAACTGTACTATTATTCGGTTGGTCTTGCTGATAGGGCTTCAAATTATCAATTGATACACCAAAGAAACAATCATCTGCACATCCATCGGGAACATTTCCACAAGATTTCAACAGACCGTAATTTGCTTCATCTACATTAAACACTAGATGATATTTTCTGTGGCCATCTTCAGTAGATACATTTAACGATTGTAAACATGTTGAATATATATTATCAAGTGTTATTGGTTGTACTGCATCTGTACCCTTATGTGAATTCAATTGATCCTTATTCTCAAACCAATGTGTACGTTGTTGATTATAATGGGATGCCGTATATTGACGTCCGACAACCTATTATCAACTCGAAAAGAAAAGTAAATTAAAAAATATAATTCTAATAACGGAAAACCTTGCCAGTTCTCTTATTGTTCCAATGCGTAAGTTAATTGGAGTTGTGTCAATGGGAAAAAAAAGAAATACTTTGGAAAATGTTTACAAGTTCGATTTTAGCTAAACAAATTTTCACTACCGATAAAGGTTTATACATTTTTTTTTCATGCAGTCATATTTCACCACGTCATCCGTACAAATTGGCTAGGATTGTCTTTTAACGTCGGTCGTTTTTGAGATATTGACAGTGTCCTGAATTTAGAAACTGAACTTTGCAGATTTGAAAAACATCGACACATTATTGGTTAACACTTATGAATTTAATTAAGAACACTGTTATTCAAGGCTTTTCACAGTATTTTCACTCCCTAAATTTTAGCAAACAAATACGGATAGATTTGGAATCACCATAAAAACAAAATTGCATCTAATGAAGCAGCTTTCGATCACTTTAACCGAAAGTTTGGTCGATTTCTCGCGAAACAGAGCTTTTTCAGCAATTTACACTAAATATTGAGCTCATATTTTTCTAGAGCAATTTCAGGCATCGGAAAACTATGAAAGCTACTTTTTCATTTGTTTTTAGACATTATGCATATTAAGCTTTTAAAATGATTTTGAAGAAGTTTTACAAAAAATCGTTCCTCGAAAAGAAACATTCAAAAACTGGTCATTTAGTAGATAAATTCTGCAGGGTTTTTTAATTGTTGGCTAATATAAGACTTCATATCTCGCGATGAGAAAGTGATAGATGTCAACGTGCAAAACTTGTATGGCAATCTAATGGTAAAGTCAGTATTAAATATCGACGTACTGATAAAAAAATGTGAAATATTTCTTATTATAAACTGAATTTTAACCTTTCTACTTTTTGCTTTCTCCTACTCACTCACCTTTCCATTTAGAACGAATATTGTTGTACTGGTCCTGTAGCCAGTCCATGAACTTCTTCCGGATGTGTATTGATATGAATTCTTCCATAGTTTTTTAACATTTTGCCATTGCTTGTAACTATTATTATACTTTTCATAGACATCTTTTGGAATTCCTGAAAAGAAAGAAAAGTTCATTTTAGTCGAACCATTTTGTCTATGAAATTTATATTACCTGTATTAATTGCGTGAATTAATAGAAAAGAAATAATAGTGAATATCGTCAACAATGCTTTCATATCTTTTCAGAATCTCAATTACTAACCGAGTGTACAGATATTTTCTCTTGTAATATAGTTACTTCAAACAGGGGCTAATCTAAGCAAGAGAGAATTTTTTTTCTTTCTTCGTGTTAGTATACAAACAAGAATGGTTTCTATATTGGAGGTTAAAGGGAAGAAAAAAAGAACTGATTAATAGTGTGTTGATAAGTTGTTTTAACATAAAGTTTGTTGATATTCCATCATTATGCGAGAACAAACAGAAGAAGCAAGAAATATTGGAGAAAAACTTCCTACTCTACTATAAACATAGGATATTATTAATCTCTTGCTTTCTTTTGTGCGTCCAGAATTTCGAATAAGATGTAATATAATGTCTCAACTACCACGAGAAAGCTGTTCTCAATTCTATATAATATTTTCACCTAAAGCAAATGCTAAACTCAATGAAGAACTTTGAAAAAAAGTGACTGTGAACAAACTCCAGCATTTAAGAATTTCTAGTGTCGATACTAATGAGTAGATGTAGTGATGAACCTATCGTCGCTCAAACAAACATTTTCGTGGTCGAATTTAGAATTTAGTTTGACTTATAACTATAAACACATGTAATCATGAAAGACCTTGCACACGCGATCCACTGCGATAGACATGAGGATACAGTATTAACTTAAAGGACATTTGTAAATATTCGTATATATTAACCGGATTAGACGCGGAATATCACAAGGCATCTTAGGGATCATTCAAGTGTTATATCGTCAAGATTAACAGAAAGATGAGTTAGCAAATAATGACAACTGATTATTTGAAGGAGGAGAGAAGTTGCTTAAAGATGGAGTAAGGTATGGATGTGGGTACGCATTCTGAAACTGTAATCACACTCATACTCACTCAGTGAAATGATTAGTAAATCGAAACAATCTTCGTCTATATCTCTAATGAATTTTTCGGCAGATTTATTTTTCTTTCTGTCTGCCATGTCTGTCATTCGATTGAAAACAAGAGGAACTATAGAAAAAAAACGATTGATCAATGAGATCAGTCCATATAAACAGTTCAGAAAAACAATTACCTTCCATTCAACTACACCTTTCACAAAAACAAATGGCAATTAATTGTCTAAGTTGTTGTAACAGAGACATGTATTCCATCGATTATAGTACGGAAGCTTAGCTAACAAACAGTGTATTGTATAAAAAAATTACTCTTTGATACAGTTAGATGATTATGACAGGAGAAAATTTCAGATTTAAGTGCATGACACATTCTTATTAGTAACATATCCTTTTTATAATGTATCTCTGGAATAATTCAAAGCTAAAACGGATGTTTTTAGTGACACAAAGATTACAAATGAACGAGTTTTCTCAGCTTAAAGTTTATGATATTTTTATTTATATGCACATCATTGAATAGAATTCATCAACTAGTCAATAATCTACAATATTTTACTTTCTAAAAGAACATTTTTGATGAACAAGAGTATTATAAAAAAAAACAAGTGGAAATATCTCTCTAAGAATAAACTCACATATGCATTATGATGCCATACATCGGTCATGTTTAGAGACAGCTCAATTGATTTCTATTCAATCAAAATAAAATTTATCATTGTGCATGATTATTAAATTCCTATGCTTATTTCTCAAACTTGTTTAATTTTAGTTGCAAGAAACCATCGTCCTAATCAATGAAATCGATTCATTTAAAATGGACATTTTTGGAAAAAAGGTGAATGTCACGAACATATTACAAAAAATGAACCTAATCAATTATTAGCAAATGCTACTACTCGTCTAGTATTAGAAGCAAAAAAAAAACAAAAAAAATAAAGCTTCTTAATAGTAAATCAATATCATTGCCTGATTCTACAGCTTTTGTCGAAAAATTAGCATAATTCATTTTGCTTTATTAGAGATGTGGTATCATTCCACAGTGAACTTTTATTTTGTTCCTATTTTTTTGTCTTATAATTTTTTCATTCATCAATAGTCATTTGACCAGAACTATGAACATAACACAAGAATACTGATCATATTTTTTTTTGCTTGTCTTTTTTTTTCTTTTCATTGTCTTGTTGTTCTGTTGCTTCATGCTATGTCTTTTCGTGTATTATAATATTAAGAGAAGAAAAGAAAATTTTTCAAAGAACAAATCAAAAAAGTTGATTTGTGCTAAAGTTTATAGTCTTGTCTGATATCTTTCATCGTAGAATGATGATGATGCTTGCACTTGATTCAAAAACATTTTTGAATAAGATATGATGTTCACATGAACAAGAAATTAACTAGATTTTTTTGTTAAATATTTATCATTAACGATACTTTTTCCACAGAAAAAGATGTGGAGAAGAACAAAAAAAAAATGAAAATCAATATTCACTTATTTCTATTTGGTATTCCTTGGTTTTTTGGATGTTCAAACACTTCTTCAATTCATCAAACTTTATGCTCACATATATATTCAATTTCTTATTGATAAATACTATTTGGTAGACGATTAAGTAATACATTGTAGGTTCTGATTTATGTGGATCAAACGACCATATTTCATCAACAGTATTTGAATCTCACATATGTGCATTAGTAATAAATTCTTCATGTAATCAATCGCGTAGTTGTCGAATTTGATCAAGTATTTGATTATTTAAATTTAATAGTTATTTTTCTATCATTATGTTCTTGACATTGTTCAATAACTGCAAGTAATGATATAGCTCGAATTTAACATTTAGTTTGAAGATTTCCAACATTTAATTCAATCAATCCATCCTCTAAATAAAAGAAAGAATTGCTTTTACTCGTATACAGGATTATATAGGGTGTCCAATAAGTCATTGAACAGAGAAAAGCTTGAATATCTCCGCCAGATTTCAACCGAATGAGCTGGATTTTTTTTCTGACGATAGTACACATGACAATGTCTGTTTTCATCAATGGACGTCCATTGGGTGTGGGTTCTGTTGTAGAGAAGATCCATACCCGCACGCACACTCACACCTCACACCCACACCCACACCCTTTATTAGTCATTAATGTCTTATCAATACAAAATTATTTTACGAAAAATATATTGAAAGAATATATAACAAAGAAAAAAAACATTCTGTAGAAAAACACATTATCGTTCTTTGATCAAAAATGATCGAAAAAAATATATAATGAATCTATAACTAATGATTATAGATGGATATCGCATGATAGATAAGAGAATAAAAAAATGACCTGTATATAATTGTGTATATCAGCTTAATGAATACATGATATAAATTGGTCTTGCAATTTTTTTGCAAAAGACATGTGTTTTTTTTTCTCAACAATGTTTTATATAGATATATACCTTCATAAATATTACAATAACCATAAAACTTTTAATTCAAGAAGAATAGTATTGAATATTACTAAAATGGATCGGTTTCATTATTGGTTAATATTTATGATATTATTTGTTATGACAAATAATCTTGGTATTGTCGATGGAGCAACCATAGACTGCAGTAAAAAATGTTTGAATGGTCGATGCATTATGGCAAACAACAATACAAGTTGTATGCCGAATAACTTATGTCGTTGTCATACCAATAGAGATTGCTATCTTCCTTGCTGTCCTCCTGTTTTGAGAGAAGACCATCCACCCTGTTGTGATTGCGGCTTCATAGGCTGAGAAGATACTTTTTTCAAACAGAAAGTTTATTGAACATTTTTAACCGATCCATTTCGAATATCTTCTGTTATTATATTGATTATTGATTATTGCAAAGAAATTAATTAATTTTTTTGTATATATTTTCATATTTCAATATAATTTTTATCATGATTGGTTAACTTTCTTATATTTATTAGTTACAAATCTAGATCTTTCATAAATAAGAATGCTCAAAAAGGAAAATCCATGATCAATGAATACATCTTTAGAGAATAGATGATATATTATATACTTTCTTGAAACAATCATCCCTTCAGCACATTCTCACCTGGCATATACGTGCCAACAAGAATTTACAGATTGGGTAGGATGATCAATGTGTCTTCTGCAAGATACATTCTCTCTTATTATGCGCACAGATGCATAGTGTTAGGCAAGCATGAAAAAATTTCTTAAGTGCTATGTGCTTTTGAACTTCAGCTAGAATCGAACAATTCAAATACCAATCGATCAGTATCATCTTTGTAAATAGATGGATGTTCTCAAATTATTATCTAGAAAAATTGAGAAAACCTAAAAACTGAGTCTTGTCTTTGAAAAGAGAAACAACCTACCGAATTACAAAGTACAAAAACACATGTGTGATCTCGAGTTTTCAGAGGCACTAGTCAGATTTCTTTGTCTCATTGAAGAAGAAAAATATCCTGCCTTGCGGTATGAGATGCTCTCCGGAGACAGTATTGAAAGTCCGATATTTTTCCTACAACTATTACTAATTGTAGGCTTGAACAAAAGGTCGGCCTTACTCAGAGTTTTTCCACTTAATCATTTAAGCTCCCCGTACACACTGACTAACCACATATTAGCCCTAGCTATATGGACTTTGTGGGTGTGTGTGGGTGTGGGTGGGGTGTGGGTGTGGGTGTGGATAACGACACAAGACTTCACTTCACCCTCACCCACCCACAGCCAACGCAACACCCACACCACCCAGCCACACCCATACCCACTAGGGAACTGCAAAGTGGTCCCGGTCCCGGGACCAAAATTTGACTTTTTTACGGGACCGGGACCGGGACTAAAAATTTTTCACATTGGTCCCGGTCAGTTTTTTATGCAATATATTTTCACGTTTATTATTTTGACATGATTTAAGATCTGTAAATCAGATATTTTTATTTGCTATTTCTATAAAAGTCTTTACTGATTACGAGTCTGTTTGCAAGAATCTGAGTTTTCCAATTGCACAGGTTTTTGAATACATATAAAACAACCAACACAACACTATATACGTAAGTTTAATTTGTTCATTCTCTGATGATTCCTTTATTGAGGTCTTATCAGATAATAGTAAATAGATATGTATCGCCGTTTATTTTTTTTTTTTTGACAATCGTAATGGCTACTCAGTATAAATAATCAATTCGATAATAGATCCATTAGGTAGAGCAGTGGATATAAAAGAAGAGAGAAATAAGTAAATGACTGCTACGAAGTATATGAGAATTTTTAACAAAATTCAATGGTTATTTTTATTTATTCGAGCTTTCAGTGAAATTCTTTCACTTTACCACTCGATATAAAAGAATTTTCGTAACCCCCCCCCCCCCCCCGCATTAAAAGGCCCCGGGGCCTTCTATAATGGCGGAGCACATAAAATTTTTAGGGGGCCTTCTATTTAGGGGGCCCTTCTATTAGGAATCTATGACATACATTGTCAAAAAGACGTCTAATTTTCCAATAGGTTGCAGTAGAATTTTTAGCATACCTGGCAGCATTGCAAAATTGATATATGTATAATAAGCGACATATTAGTGCACGATACATATAATCACACAAGAAATCACTCACTAGAACTTCAAAGTAATTGCCATAAAAGGCGAAGTAGAATCATAGCCTTAATACAAGGCCCGGGTCTTCTATTAAGGCAATCATTCAGAACTTTTTGGGGGGCCTTCTAATAAGGGGGGCCCTTGTAATATGGGGGGCCTTCTATTGCGGGGGGGGGGGGGGGGGGGGGGGG